GGGATGGATTATCTCGGCAAAGGAGAAGTGCTCACTATCACAGATTTTTTCAGATTTGTGAACAATATTTGAGAGAAATGGTTATTTTGTGTATATAGAAAATGTTTTAGATCTTTGAGTTCATCTCATGAAAAATGGGAGCAAAAACAAAAGTGTTGCATTTATATTTTTGTTCAGTGTAGATTTGTGAGGCATGTTGCTTTTGTTGCAGACACTTATTCAATACTATATATTTTCCAGTCTGGAAAAATATATATTTTTGGTGAAGCAACTGTTAGGGAATAATTTGCTTAGCTATTCAACCTTTGACCCAGTTCATAATTTTCTCCTCTCACTGTCTCTTTTCCCATGGCATAGGTCTACGGCCCTGGGTATTGCTGCTATCTCTCTTAAGGAGGGGCAGCTTGGGCGCATTGTTGTTGCCAGTCTATGACAGAGCACAAGCCGCCATGAGGTAGTTTACTATTCAGGGACAAAGGTTCCCTGGTGCAAATTATTTTCTATGGACGACAGCTCTAGTTAGATTCAGGGTCCATAATGTTTAGTCTCACTGATGAAGAATGTTGATTATTGCACTCCGAACTAGTTAAAACATTGAGCTGCAGAAGAGTTCTTCAGAATTTGTTTGGCAACTCGTGACACACCACCTGTCTTGTCAATTCTCCGGCCGTAGCTCCAAATAAACCACCAGTGTTTGCCATCAAAGCTCCAGCTCTCCTCGTGTCTCTCTGAGTCCTGACTCTCCATTGCTACAGAAGTTTCCCCCACAGCAACCAAAAATAAAAGTCCTGCTTCAAACAGTTTTGAATGGATACCAGTCTCCACCTCACAGGCATCTGAGGGAGTTGGGTTATTGATCAGACTTGCTGTTGTCTTTGGTGGGACTGTAGAGTATCTTCTTGAATGAAAACGGGTTAGAAATAGATGTCAGAATCTGATTATAAGCAGGAGCCTTTTACTGCAAAATGTCCACATGTTCATTCTCATATTCCTTTTGATGTTGTTGCCTGCGCTGTTTAGGTACAGTAACATCCTTCACGTGTTTGTGCGGATATCCCGAGATGAGGGCCTGAAGACGTTGTACCGAGGCTTTGCTCCCACCATGCTGGGAGTTATTCCCTACGCTGGACTCAGCTTCTTTACCTATGACACACTGAAGAAACTACACTCAGGTAATGCACTGCCAAGTCTGATGTAATGCGTAGTTATCTCAAACTGCTTCTTTTACACTCATTGTAATGTCGCATATATGAAATGACCCTTGTTCACTTCCTCCTCTCCCATGTAGAGCACACCGGGCGCCCAGATCCCTACTCATATGAACGGATGGCGTTTGGAGCCTGCGCAGGACTTATCAGCCAGTCGGCCTCTTACCCTCTGGATGTGGTGCGGCGGCGCATGCAGACTGCGGGAGTCACAGGTCACACGTACGGCACCATCCTGGGCACCATGAAGGAGATTGTGGTCGAGGAAGGTTTAATCCGCGGACTCTACAAAGGTCTCAGTATGAACTGGGTCAAAGGGCCCCTCGCCGTGGGGATCAGCTTCACCACCTTTGACCATACCCAGATTGTCCTGAAGAAGCTGCATGAGATGGGCTACACGGGTCGATAATAGCGATACAGAGGGGGGGGGCGCAAATTGGGGATTGCTGGATGACGTGTTCCCAGTTGAACCATCTGGAGAGAAGGGAAGTTAGAGAGTGACCATGGTGTACACACACTGGCTCAGAATGCCTTATATTAATGTATTCTCTCACGTTATCGGTGTGCAGCAGGGGATGTAAGCGTGTGTGGAGGATACACACTGTTGTCATGGACAGCTAAGTGCAATATGTTCAGTGATTTTCTGTGCGTTTGTGTGAACACATGATTCATAACGCTCCTGACGTGGTGAACCAGTCAATCTGAAAGTTCACACACACACACACACACACACACACACACACACACACACACACACACACACACACACACACACACACACACACACACACACACACACACACACACACACACACACACACACAC